ACGGACCGGAACTGGGGCCTCCGGACCGACCCAGAAACCGGGCTGGCCGGGCTGCGCCCCATGCGCGGACAGTGGCCGGAGGGGCTCACCCAGAAGGTGTGGATTGCAGGGAGGCCGATCACCGCACTGCTGGACACCGGGAGCACGGTGACCCTCGGCCTGACCGGCCCGTCCTCCCAGGGGACTCCGGCCAGGGGGAAGCCTCACTGTAACCTGCGTTCATGGGGACACCCGGGAAGTCCCGGACAGCAGAGGTGGCGACACAAAGCGCGGTACCGGGAGCTGGTCTCTCCACGTGGGCGTGATCCCTGACCTCCCGCACTGTTACTCCTGGGGAGGGACTGGCCAGGAGGCCTGCCGGGCCGGGACGCCGGGAGAGGGAAGCCACGACGTCGGAAGCGGAGGACCGGGGCCCGGACCGCTTACCTGGCCCAGGACAACGGGGACGCCACTCCCGGTGACTTCTGTTGCCGGGTCCAACACCGGGGGGGGACCCTACATGGGAATGCAGACGGGCTCTCACGACGAGACACGCTCTGGGCCCACCTCTCAGCGGCAGTAGGCTCGGAGCTGAGGGGGTACTGTCGCGCGGACCAACACCCGACGCGAAATTCGGAGGTTCGCTCCTTTCCCCGACTACCGCCCGCACGGCAGGCGGGCAGCCTCGCGCCGTCCTAACGCTACCGGAAGGGACGCCATGCCGGGAGGACCCACTGATGCCGTACCGTCCGGGGATTGGAGGATCGGACGGAGGAAGTCCACCACTCTCTACCCGGATGGGGAAAATAAAAGGACGCCTCTTCCGGGACGGGGGAGTACCGACTTACTGAAACGGTCCGTCCGAACGCATCCGCGCCCAGGTATTCACCCGTACTCCCTTTTTTAAAGCTGGCTAATCGCTCTCTCTCTCTCTCCCTGTATATACTTGGGGGGAAGGCTCCGACACGGACAAGGACGGCGCCGGCCGAGACGACGACGCGCAGCACTGAGGGACGACTCAAGAACCCCGAGGCTTCTTCCGGGATTCCCCCCGACACGCCCCCACGAGCATCACGGGCGTCCGCCCGGCCCGCTGACCTACACACACACCCCCGAACTACACTCTACCAAAACCCCGAATAAAGCCTGAGCCTTTACTCCACTCCCGCCTCCGTGTCTCTGTGCATCGCCCTTTTCCCGCTACAGCATGTAATGTCTTTTTAATTGCCCGTTCTTTGAGGAGTAGCCTGTCACATAACTTGTTGTGTTGACGTAATAAAAAGAGATGCTGCGCATTCAGCGGGGAAAAAAACTGTTTCACCAAGTTCTAATTCATCCATTTACATTTTACGGCATTTGGCAGATGCTCTTATCCAGAGTGACTTACATTTACTTAATTTATACATCTGAGCAGTTGAGGGTTAAGGGCCTTGCTCAAGGGCCCAACCGTGGAAGTTTGGCAGTGCTAGGGTTTGAACTCAACCTTTTGAGCAGTTGGCCAACACCTTAACCACTGAGCTACCAATGCCCATCGACAGTGCCACAATAAGCATGTGGAAAGTGAGGATCCGAAAGACATCAGAAAAATATCAGACTTTTTCAAACAATCCTCATCTCCATCGAGCACCAATGCGGATGGTACAAGTGCTAATAAAAATTAGGTTCCAGTTATGCCAGCATGATAGAGATAGAAAACGATGGCGACACAGAGGATCATCTTTCTGTGTCAATCAATGAGTAAAAGTGCAGGAAGGTATTTTGAGACTTCTTCGATTCAAGAGTTTGCAAGGCTCAGATATGATCATCGCACATAGAAAATGTTTTGTGACTTTCGCTCCAAAGCGAGAAAAAGTTGAGAAAATGGATTTCATTACCGGAACCATTTCAAGAAACATACTGTGAGAAAACAGGGCGATAGTCGAAAACATAAAAAAAAAAAACTTCTGACAATGTAATCGAGTGCTTCGCAAAAAACACCATTACCATGAGCAGTCTCTCGTGCATGTGAACTACATGACGAGACCCAATGGAAAGAGCTGAAAATACAATTCAACACCGCCTAAATGATTGCATGTGAAGAGCTTGTCACCAAATCTACCTCTCAGATATTACTAATGAAGAAACATCGACAGGATGTGTGCAAGACAAGACGTATGACAACCACACGGCATGTGCTTTGACCAGAATGCATCGAGTTTGTCCTAAAATATTGGCTTTTCAGCTCAAAACAAGATGAAATCAAAAGTATGCAATTCAACGTTGGAAAACTTGATCAGGATCAGCACAGAGGACCCATCACTTGAACAGTTTGATCCTGAACCATGTGACCAACACTGGCTTTCTGCAAAAAAGAGGAGGAGACCAAACTATACTCAATGGCCAAGTGATGCTGAGATAATTACGATCGGTGACACTGGCTCAGATTGTGTGGAAAGAACAATTCTTTGTGACATTGTGACTTAAAGTGCCTACTTTAAGTGAACTTGGATGAAAATGCTGATGCTTTAAAAGGGGGCCAGACTTATGTACATCACATGATGACTGAAAGTAAGCGTTTAAATAATAATAATAATAATAAAAAAATTAAGTTCATTCTTATGGGGTGCTTAAAAAAAAAATGCTGCCTGTTTATTCTTCTTCTTTTTTTAATCGATTTATTTATTTATTTATTTTTTGGTCTGGAGCCCTGCTTTTGACATAACACAATATAAACAACTGTATGATTATAGTTCTGGTTCTCTCTTGCCAGTTGTGTCTCACATGAGCAACACATGTATTTATTTAGTTCAACCAAATAAAAACACTGAACCTGTTTTAAAGCTCTAAAATAAGCTCTAAATAAAAGTATTTTAGAACATACTGCTTTTCTCTTGACTTTATATACATACTTGGCCTTGAAGTAATCCAAAAGTAATCAGATGACATTCATTTCATATTGTGATTCTTGGATTACACTACTCATGACATTGTTTATGAAGTAATTTGTAATTGTAACGGAATACATTTTAAAAGTAACCCTCCCATCCCTGCACTTTTCCTGGTCAGTAGTCCGGAGTATCAGTAACTCTGGGCATGAGACAGGAATCCACCATGGAGGGTGAACCATGCACACACACACACGCACAAACTCATTCACACATAGTAGCAATTTAGAGACACCAATCCACCTACCAGCATGTTTTTAGAAGGTGGGAGGAAACCGGAGAACCTGCCACTGTGAGGCGGCAACACTACCTCCAGCACCTCTGTGAGCAACATCCTGTGTAGCAAAGAGTTCCAGGTGAAGTATGGTTAATTTCTGATACCTAAAGGTCATTTATGGCAATGGCAAGGAGGATTGCCTGTTCACAAATGGTTCCAAAACATCATGGGACAAAAGTGACCCACCTGAAATCACATTCAAGTTTGTTTTTTTTCAGTCAGGAATGCCCAATTAAAATCAACCTTATATACAGTAAAACTTGTATAAAGTGTTAATGCTTTAACCCTAGTTTTTGTTCTGCTGCATGGGATCTTTAGTCATACATTAAATAATAGATTTTTTCTAAACAGCATGTCCTTTAGCAGAATTATTTTGTGTTTATTGTGGCCAAAACCGCTTTATTTCGCTGTGGCTTTATTCAAAATTTGTGGTGCAACATGCAGAGTTTTGTATTCTTTTGTGCTGAAAATGACATGAACTGGTGAACTTGCAATTGCACGAAATAGCCTCTCACAGTGATGATGATAATTGAGACCTTTCGAATGTGATGTGAATCGAAGAGGGCTCTGGCTGAATGCGTGTTGTAATGATGTCACAAGATGTGTGTTGTGACATCATCACAAGATGCATCTTGGCCCAAATCTGCAGTAATTTTGAAAAAAATTTTTTAACCTGATTTGACTTGATTTTGCGTTCATTTCTGAGGTCGCAAAATCGTGAAATCCTGGAGGGACTGTGGAGTGTTTTTATTCTCGGATATCACAGAAACATACCTTCAATAAAAACATTTTTATTTCTTACAGACCAACATATAATTTTCTAATCATTTATTGCTACAGTTAATGTCTTGGAGCCTTCACAAAGGAAATGAGTTCCTGCTAACAGTTATGTTATAGCCACGATAAACTTTCATTCCCACACTAGTCTCTTTTCTCTTTTCACTCTTGGAATTAATAAGACGAAAGAAGAAATGCCACACAATGCAAAGCCTTCTGTCACGAAAACTTTCCCATGGTGGAAAACCTGAAGGAACAGCTTTACTCTGACTGTTAGAAAGCACAGACACAAGAGACTAAATGTCAAATAAATGCAAAAAATGTATTTATTATACAGTAAGGCTTAGATTATGTGGTGCGTCCTGCACACAGTAACATTGATGTTTCCTGCAGTGATTAGGATTTCATACCGCCTTCACGAACTGCAATTCAACATAAGAGAAACATGTGAACCATGACTTGTCTATTCAGTCTGTACAGGATTTCGTAAAGATTTTTTTGTGATTGTTGTGGAGTTTTGATTTCTGCGACCGCAAACTCTTATAGGGACCGACTATTAGAAAAGGAATCAAAGTTGATTATTCATTCATGCAATGTTCCTACTGCAAGACTATCCGACAGACTATTTTTGAGAAACTGCATTTTATGACCTGTAATGTCATTCAGCACTCCATCAAAGTCCAGATTGCACCCAGTCTGTCTCATCTGTGCTGTGTTTGTGCCATCAATAAGGAACATTTGTGCAGTTTTATTACTCATGCGCTTTATTTCTCATATGCAGACGGTAATGGAGTGGAAATTTACAGGGGGCTGAATGGCATCGTAAAATATTACAATTCTCCAAAACTGTACAATATGACCACATAAAAAAACAATTGTACTGTAATTATAATTTGTTACTTTACTTGCACCAACGTGTAGAATATTTTTCCTTGTTTTTCCATCTTTGACCAAATTGAACAAGCATTTTATCAGACATTAGGACCAAAATAAGCACTGTTTTTATGATGTTCCCAAAGATCTGGTCCATATTATTGCCATATGGCAGAGGTGGCTTAGTGGTTAAGGCTCTGGATTACTGATCGGAAGGTTGGAGGTTCATGCCCTAGCACTGCCAAGCTGCCACTTTATATGTGACCAATAAAGACTCATTATATTAGGCTGTAGACAATCTCACCATAGCTAAGCTCTGGTTGTGTTTTAGTTGATTCGAGTTCATCTCTGTCATTCCACAGTGATATGGGGGCAAGATGAATGAAAGAAGTGCTATTTGCTTGTGAATGAGGGAAGCTGGGATTTGATTTGAATTCAGTATGATCGGTTGACGCTTTCAAAACAAGGTATAATCATTTTTAGCTATGAAAAACACTCGAAATGCTAACGAGTGTTTATTTTCCATCCAAAAACTTTGGTATTATTAAGACCAATTCTGCCCTTTCTGTGCACTGATGCAGACAGTGCACCTAAAATCGATTATTTTCCCCGTGCCTAGTTACAACTGATTAGCAAACCATTTCTGCAGACTGCTGAAATCATCTTGGCTCTTTAAAAACATTTCAACCTAATATTCTGGTGCAAGGAGAAGATGGTAATTACTTTCCTCATGCTCTTGTTAGTCTCCGAGACTTTCTCACCCTCTATAAAAATTCAAGAACATAGAACTCTTGATTTTGATTTTGTTGCAGCTTTAAAAAAAAAACCCAAAAAATTTAGATACAACTTGGCGAGTTTTTTTTTTGTTTTGTGGAAATTGCAATTGCATGAAATTATTTGCACGGTCTTTCACGGTTATGGTTGTTGGTAAATGAGACCTTTCAGCTGTACATGTTCAACAAAAGTGAAATAAAGAGGACTTTGGCACGTTGTGATGACGTCACACGGCACATATAGGTCCAAATCTGCGTAAAATCTGCTGTAATTTAGAAAAATGGCCAGCTCCGAATACTGGGGAGTTTGCTTGATTTTGTGTTCATTTCTGTGATCGCACTAAATCACTAAATCCTGAAGGGACTGATTGTTTATTTTTCCTGTCCTTGCTTCAGAAGGCCTTCACTAATCTTTCCTTAACTGAAGTCATGACACTACCATTATTTATCTTTGAAATCAATTCCAAAAGTAATGTAAAGTAAAGTAGTGCCATCACCTTACAACTTAAAATATTAATTCAACTTAAAGCTAATACTAAATCTGATTACTGACAGATTCACATAAAAGTGTGGTCGTGCTAAAGGTCATGGGTAGGATCAGATTTTGTGATGGGCCTGTTATTTGTTTATTATTATTCATAGTTATAAGGCAAGGCAAGAAAAGTAGGCAAAACAAACAGAAAAATAAACCCTATTGATTTTTGTGATGCACCTTGATGCTGTAACTATAACAGGTGTTTCTCATTCAGAATCACACTACCCGCTGCACTGCACACATCGGCCATGGTGTGATGTACTCGACGTTTAGTTTAATTAACGTGCACAAAATGACGAAACTGCGAAAATGTAAATTACAACATAAAACTGTTAAATAACTTTCTGCTAGCATGAAGCCACACAGCACGAGACAATAAAGATGTGAGACAGACATGTCTTTTTACTTGCGATGTGAGGACAGAACTTCACATTTCATATGAGAGAAATGCTGGCCGACGACTTGCTGGACTTTCGACCGAAAACATGATGCGCTACACAAGAAACGTTATCAGAATAAAAATAAGGATTACAACTGAGGTCACATAGTCAAATAATTCTCAGGAATATAACTTTTATATGAGAAATACCTGCTCATTATGTTGTTTAAAGATCTTTTTTTTCCAATTTAGTACTGCCCTTCGGAAGCCACATAAGATATTAGTGTTTCCCAGAAGATAAAATAATAACAATTTACACCGATCATCCTGTTCAAAAGTTTACATCCCCCAGGTTCTTGAGCATCAGTGAATGTTTGCGTCTTTTGTAATAGTCGTGTACATCCCTCAGTTGTCCTCGGTGTGAAAAGATGGAGCTGAACATCTTATAATCGCTGTTGGAAAGGGCTCAAATATGCAGAAGATGCTGGAAAAGTAAAGAATGTGCAGCACCTGGAGGATTTTTCTGAAGAACAGTGGGCAATTTAACTGCTCAGGACAAACAAGGGACTCATGAGCAACTATCACAACACATAAAAACAGTTGTTGATCATCCAGGTAACACCACACAGTATTAAGAACCAAGCGTGTGTAAACTTTTGAACTGGTTAATTTGTGTAAATTCAGTTATTGTGTCTTGTAGACTATATATAAACATCCGTTATGCGAACAAGCTTATGTGGGGCAATACTAAATAACAAACACAATGCGATTTTTATGATCTCTCTTATTGGTTTGCAAAGTATTATCATTTTGCAGATTCTACAAGGCGCATGTAAACTTATGACCTCGATTGCATATACGGCTACATAAAGCTGTGAATCCCCAGGATTTCGTACATTTCTCTTACTCTGTGTTAATGCACTTAACTAGGCAAGTTTCCATATTTTATTCCACTGTATTAGTTGCCTTTTTTAGCATAGTCAAATCGGTTTCCTGCTGGCAACCAAAACATGTGACTGGGAAAGCACACTGGAGCTTGTCCATGCCTGACGTCGAGCCAAAGTCTCTGATCAATTATTATTTTCTACATACAGCTATATCGAATGTGGTTGTAAACACACTTTTAAAAAAAATAAAAATAAATAAATATTACCTGTTCACTGGCTGTAACACGTTCCACACTTGACTCAGGGTGTTATATTGAGAGGAAAAACATGTTCAGCACTGTCACACCTGCGTAGGCGTTATGAAGTATACATGAAGCATTCATGCGTCACTGACACGCTGGCTATTTGGCCAAGAAAAGATAGCTCTGAATTTTGCAGCATGCCAGAAGTCTTGCTTATTAGGGAAGAAGTATTGTGATCACAGAGGATGGGGGTTGAGGAGAGAAACGACGGAGAAAGGGATGATAGAGGAGGTTTTTCACTTGAGAGATTTCAGCAACTGGCTGTTAAACAGGGGAGAAGGCGGGGAGGGAGCGGGGCTGAAAATGAAGATTGATTCAGGATTGGCGAGACTGTGTGCACCATTGAGGACGCAAGAGAGAGAAAGATGAGGGCTAGCTCGGTGGAGCTCATTCAGGGCGACTGATAACGACACAATCTCTCTCGGTGTCTCTCCGATACACACAAACAGACATTCACCTGGTCTTGTCAGTAGTCCGTCTCGCCCCTGCCTCGTGGCACACACACAGATGAAGGACCAGAGGGACAAACATAGTCATTTTAGACTGAGGACATGTTGTGGTGCTCTCTGTGAAGGACAGCTTACTGATAAATGTCACTCCTTGTCAGGCAGCAAGGCCATCAGCCCCTTGGATAAAACACTGCGATTTAACTTCATAAAACACACACACACACACATAGAAAGAGAGAGAAGAGAGAGGGAGATGGAGTAGGAAAGGGGGAAATGGGGAAGGGAGATTAGCTTGTAAATTAGCTACAAGTTTTGTTTTTTTATTTTCAGTGTGTGTGTCTGTGTTGGGGGCTGCGGGTTAGCTACAAACAAGAGGACAAATATCCATACTAGTTTAGCCAGCTACTAAACAACCTATAGCTGAGCGTACGATCATTTGCTGGTAGTTTACTCCCATATGGATTGTTTTACTGAAAATATGTCCAAAATAGACTTTTTTGCGATCTTTTATAACTGTAGCCATAAAATATAATTGCTCTGGAAAAAAGATGGGTAAAAATGAAAGGTCTGTGATTTTGAAAGGCATGTGTAATCTTACTTAGACCTAATTCTGCAACTGATTGAGTGGTCTGAGTCATTCGTGCCCCTGACTGCTGTGCACAAACACAAACCAAGAGCAAGCAAATTTAAACACAGGAAGGACAATTTATTAGCAAAGTTTGTGTGCAGCTTACTAATGTTTAGATGCTCGGTTGACGGTGAAGATGTGGAGTGTTGAAGACTCTTTCTGTTGTTTTCTATTTAGCTTTTCACTTACCTGTTTTAGCACAGTGTTCATGTAGCCAAGGGAATGGTATGCATGCTTTCTGAGTGCCTGAACACAGTTAGGTGCAGTTCATCTTTAGGGATGGCATTTCCATCTACCGTTCCGACATAGTCTCCACATTTGTACAAAAAGTGATCATGTGTGTTTTGATTCAGTTTCTTGCAAAAAAGCAGATCATTATACTTAAGTCAGGCTTTCATCTTCAGTAAGACTACCACGAGAACACTGGGCACAAAGTGTGACAATTCATACCATAACATGGTACTATGTACAAGCTCATTCACACCTATGGACTATATAGCATAGCCAATATACCTATTTATTTGTTTTTGGATAGGAGGAACCCAGAGGAAAAAGTGGATGTGTGGGGCTTCAATGCATCTTCATTTAGTTTACACGTGAAAAAGAGAGCACACAAAAGAAATGCAGTAAGTGTGAATGGGCTTGTGTTTTAAAATCTTGTTGACCCCAGGTGAACTGAAACAATATTTAATATGGACTTGCATCTGATGTGGTCTCTAAACACTTCAGAAATGGGTCTGTACTTAAATAAACTGATATAATGATTGTCTTCAATTCCTAAAATTCATCACCCAGTGTAGATTCACTTTCAGTAATCTTTTCAGAGAAGCGGTACATCCACAGCCCATACCAGGAACTTTGGGCATGAGGCAGGTACACACCCTGGGTGGGACGCCAGTCTATTGCAAACTCATTGTAGTGACTTACAACATATTTTATAGCATTTACGGCACTTGGCAGACACCCTTATCCAGAGCGACTTACAGAAGTGCTTTGAAGAATTTATTTTGTGAATAAATACATCTCAATACTGGTTCACTAGGTCACAGACTGAATACCATCAGTAAGAAAAACACACAGACAACAATATATAATTTTATGAAAAGTTCTAATTTAAGTACTTTAGGAAGAGGTAGGTCTTTGGACATTGATTGAAGACCACCTGTGACTCAGCAGTTTGGATATCTAGGGGAAATTCATTCCATCACTTAGGTGCCAGAAGAGAGAAGTGTCTTGATGCATGTCTTCCTTGTACCTGGAGTGATGGAGGGACCAGTCTAGCGGTGCTAGA